TCTTCATAACTGTTCTGTTTAAATTTCTTCTCTGTTCGTAAGTCTGAGCTTTGTAACTGAACATTATTTATATTATTTAGATTTTTATTCATCATGTTAACCTTTTTGACATTTTTCTATAAACTTTATCCCCAAATTTAGGATTAGCATCATATCGTTCTTCTAAATATTTTTGATGTCTGTCTGTGTTAAGGTGTTGCATTCGTGCTTTAAAATAATTTCCACCGTCATCATATTCACCTCCACATTGATTACATATTGTTTTTGTCATTTATATAATATTATTTAGATTTTTTACTGCTTCTTGGTGTTTTTTAGTTCGTTTATGTCGTAATAGGTTTGTTTTTGATATTTCCTCTCCACATTCACACTTGACTTTAACATTTATTTTCATCTTGATTTTCTCACTATTTTCTTTCCGCCACTCTCTATCGCGAACTCTTATCTTTTCACGGTTTTTTCCACGATATTCTGCTTTTCGCTCTAAAATAGTCTCGTGTATTCTTTCTCTGTATGCCTTACCTTTTTGTTGTCTTATATCTTTTGTATCTTCAAGCCATTCGTCCATCGTTCGTGCTTCTATTCGGTGGTTCAATGTTGCCATCTTCCTAATGTATTCCCCCTCTTTTGCTGTTAGTTGCTCTTTGTTTTCACAAGGGTATTCTTCAATTAACTCAATGTAAAAATGTTCTACACCAAGTTCATTCATTTTTTGATATAATTTGTAGTGTTTCCTTTTTTCAGACTTCATATCACTCCTATGCCCAACCATTCTTTTACTTAGCGGTTGAGTTGTTGAACCAATATAAATGTCATCATCCAGATTATTTCTGAGGCAGTATATTTTACCGTTTTTATAATCCATACTTTTTATTACTTAAATATACCGTTTTTTCTTTAATTACGTTTCAAATTGTTCCATAAATTCTTCTTGTGTTATAGGTTCATTTCCAGCTTTATTTCTAACATTAGCTATGTCTTCGTAAGAATGGTTAAAAAACGGATTTACTGAACCTTTTGGAATTGTTATCGCACCTCGGTCAAACATAGACACTACATCATTAGAGCCTCTTATTCTCAAATTCTGACCTGTCTCTTCTGGCTTTTGTCTTGATACAAAAGGTGCACCATAACTTCTTGTCTGAAATATATTACCATAATCTTCATTAATCTGTTGTCCTATCGCCGATCCTAATGAGTGGGAGACTATTTGTTTTATACCATAATTCTTTTTACCTTCAATATCAATAGCATAATCTTGAATATATTTATCAACATCTTTATATCTTTTTGTATTTCGTGTCTGATAGAATGGTAACAATAGATCATCAACAGTATCACGAAACGATTTTGTACCTGCTATGTATAAAGTTTCCCCGTCCCTGTAAATCCCGTCAGGGTCTTCGTATGCTCTTTTTAACCCGTAAGTATCTGTCGGAATGAATTCCGTTCCTGCTAATTCTTCTTTGACGTCATCAACAATTTTGTTTCTTGTATTAGGTATCTCATATAATATTCCGTCATTTCTTCTTTTATGTTTATGCATATAAAATAACATATAAATTAATTTTCTCAGTTAATTAATAATGTTAAAGTTTAAAAAAGTATATATTGACAGCAGTTACAAAGTGTCTGGAACTTCATCGGATTTTACTATTGACTTGCCGGAGACTGTTCAACTAGAAGATAATATAAAGTGTATAATACATGAGGTAAGCATTCCACATTCTTGGTTTTCAATACAACAGGGTTTTTATGACAGTCTCTATTTCTTTCAGTTAGACCCTAACGGAGTTAATCCTGATATAATTGATTATCGTATCTTTTCAATTGATGAAGGCAACTACTCAGGCGCAGAACTTGCCGAACGAATTGAATTCTGGTTGAATGATTATTTTGATTCACGAAATCCAGATGTTGCTAGAACTGATACTTACACGGTTACTTATAACGCAAAACTTAACAAAATACAAATAGCAGTTAATTATGCTACTCTTATCTTCAACGTTTTTACAGAAGCCAGGCATTGATGTGAACAATTTACGTTCAATAAATAAGGTGCTAAATATTGTTGATAATTCACCTACTCACGGTATTGCATTACCGTTCGTGTCGGGCTTTTTAGACCTTGTTCCGATTAAAAACCTGTATTTACACTGTAATGAAATTAGTATTTACAATCAATTGACGGTGGCAGGAAATTCATCAATAGTGAAGAAGATACCCGTTACAGTTCCATATTTAGGAATAATAAACGATAACGAAGTGAATGAGTTTGATTATGTTGATTGTAGTAA